TTACTTTGATATGTAGTAGAAAAAAAATTAACTTAATATATCCAAGTCATAAATTTATGGTAATGGTATAAAATTTCCTTCTGAAATAGGTATACTTAAGTTTGTTTTTTTTTTTAAGTGAGTTTATTAAAACACATACACACACGTGCAAAACAAACAAACCGAGTAATAATAGTACAGAATGCAACAGCAAAATTCAGAAAGTTCAACTGACTGGAGTATGGGAAACACTGGTCAAAGTCAACCAGAAACTCAACGGATATTGTAGCTGGTGGTGAACAGCACTTAAAAGCTCTCAGACGGACCAGAGAGTAAACACCCAGATAACTGACCAGAGAGTAAGAGAGGCAATGAGAACAATAACAGTAGTAGAATTGGCTGCCATTTGTGAAACATTCACTGTGTACCAGACACTGTTCCAAGTACTCTATACATATTCACTTATTCTTCCCAACAACCCGATGAGGTAGGCACTGTTACTCATCCCGTTCTATAGCCCTGAAAGAAGGGGGCTTAGAGGTTGTGTAAATTCACCCAAGGTCCTGTGGCTCAGGAGGGGTGGAGTCAGGACTGAAACCTGAGCAGTCTGGTTCCAGAGCCAGGCTCCTAGCCCCCACTCTGGGGGCCTCGGTGTATAGAACACGCACTTAGAGCATGGAGGAGGGAGAGGGAGTGCTGGTTTCTGCTCAGGGGGCACCAGTTCCTCATATGGGTTAGCAAGACCCTGCTGGCTCTGCCACACCCAGACCTCCTCGCTCTGCAAGCACAGGGACGGGAGAACACGGGGTCTCATACTCGGGTGTACCAGAGACTCCTTGTTTGAAATATAGAAAAAGACTGTCTACCTGGATCCCCTGGGAGCTCAGCTATACCAGTTTAGACATTTTTCAGGAGTTTAGATATTTTACCTTGAAAGGAATACAATGATTGGAAACAGAGCATTTTATCATGTAATAAATATTTTGGCACGTTTGCAATCCAGGCTTTAAAGCCATTTGACATTCCCAAGACCATGACTGACTCTTGACTCTGCCAAGATGCCCTGGAAGACTGGCCTCACGCTGTGTGTGCACCTGTGTAGGTCAGCCCGATCTCTCTGGCCACTCCGAGTTGGGGCCGGGGGCCACTCCATCACCACAGCCTGGCACTAAGCAAATCATTCTTCTGTGAAGGCACCAGGGACAATCTTTAAAAATACATTATCCTATGGAGACTGAAATCTATTGTCAAGGATTTCATTTTACTTGGATCCACAATCAACATCCATGGAAG